ATGTCAGCAAATGGTTGTCCAACCTCTTCTTAAAAACCTCCAGCGATGGAGAATTCGCAACTTTTGAAGGCAAGTCTTCCCACTGGTTAATTTTTCTCAACGGTCGGGAAAGTTTCTCCTTAGTTCTAGGTTGCTCCTCCGCCACATTAGACCCTTGGTTGTACAGTAACAATAGTGGAGTTGGAAGGGGTCTTGGAGGTCACCTAGTCCAGCCCCCTATTCTCGCAGGAGACCTATGATATTTCTGATAGATGACCCTCGGGTCTCTTCTTAAAAACCTGCAGTGTCGGGGCCCTTCTGGAGGCAAGCTGTTCCACTCGTCAAAGGATTATAGAATAATATTGGGAAGGGACCTTGAGAACATCTAGTCCAACCCCGTGCTCAAGCAAGGAGACCCTACACAATTCCAGACAGGTGGCTGTCCAGCCTTCCACAACTTCTGGAGGCAAGTTGTTCCACTAGTTACTTGTCCTCACTGTTAGGAAGTTTCTCCTTAATTCCAGGTTTCCAGCGGAATATCTCAGGGCTTCTCCAAGTGTGATTCAATCTCACCCCGAAAGACGAAACAGAAGACCGATCAATCAGAATAGAGTTGGAAGGGACCTTGGAGGTCTTCTAGTCCACTCCCCTGCTCAAGCAGGAGACCCTGTACCATTTCAGACAACTGGCTGGCCAGTCTCTTCTTAAAGCCTCCAGTGACGGAGCACCCGCAACTTCTGGTGGCAGGCTGTTCCACTGGTTAATTGTTCTCCCAATCAAGAAATTCCTCCTTATTTCCAGGTTGCTTCTCTCCTGGATGAGTTTCCCATCCGTTGCTTCTTGTCCTGCCTTCAAGTGCTTTGGAGAATAGGTGGACCCCCTATTCTTTGGGGGGGGGGGGTCGCACGCACCCCTAAAATGCAATACACACACACACACACCTGGCTTTTCTGACCTAGGCTTCCCCGACAGCACGAAGCCGACTCCTTGTCCTGATAAACCCCTTTTATTTCGTTTAGGGTGAATTCCTCTCCAGCAAAGTCCTGGCCAACAGTCTTTCATGAGATTTCACAAGTACAGACCTTTATCAGGCTGGGTGAGTTGCCAGGCCGATAGCTTCCAAACGCCACGCTGTAGCAGAAATGACTTGGCAAGAGGTCAGGAACAGATCTTCACCCTAATGAATTGAACTCATTGTCTCCTGAAAAAAATCATTCCTCTTTCGCTTCTCTTTTATTTCCTATGGGAGGGGTCATTCATCATTCACCTGTGGCTTTACTCTTGTTCCTCAGCTGTTCCCTTCCTCTGGCAGCTCTGTGCATACGCACATTGGGAACAGGCTCCAGCTGTTCTTCTTCCCCACTAATCTCTGACTCCAAAGGCAGCTGATAACTGTTAGACGGCCCTGGCCCCATGTCTGCCTCTTGTTCCTTAGTTGTTCCCTTCTTCTGGCAGTTTTACACATATGCACACTGGGAACAGGCTCCAGCTGTTCTTCTTCCCCACTGATCTCTGACTCCAAAGGCAGCCGATAACTGTTGGACGGCCCTGGTCCCATCTCTGCCTCTGACACAGAGCCCTCGTCAGAGCCTTCCCCAGACTCCAGGACTGGCCCAGGTTCCCCCGTCTGAATCGGCTGCCAGCTCCACTGGCAGGCCACAAACACCCATGCATGCACCCCCACGCCTTGCGCATGCGTACATGACCCCTGCACGCGCACCACTAACCCCGAGCATGCACCGCAGAGATGCGAGGGCCAGTTGATTGGCGGGAGGTGCACACGCACATGCGCAGCAGAGCTGAGCTGGGGCAACGGCTCATGTGCTGCTCACAGAGGGCTCTGCATGCCACCGGTTCGCTCTCGCGGCCATCAAGGAATTTGAGAGAAACTGAAGAGATTGGATCCACACGCAATACTTTAAACCAGGGGTCTCCAACCTTGGTAATTTTAAGACTGGTGGACTTCACAAGACCACCAGTCTTAAAGTGGCCAAGTTTGAGGATCCCTGCTTTAAACCACAAGCTTCACATATTCAGGTAGCCAGGATTTGCAGAGCGTGTTTAATAATGCCAGAGAGCCATTTTAAGATAGCTGGACTTCAACTCCCAGAATCCCCAGCTACAGAATTCTGGGAGTTGAAGTCCACCCACCTTAAAACTTCCCAAGAGTGAAAAACCCTGATTTAATTATCTCTTTCTGTGATTTTTTTTTTTTAAAATCTTGGTGTCTTTACCAATCCCAAATGAAGTACAGGCAGCCCTCAACTTACGACGGGTCCACATTCAAAATTATGATGGGCCTTCCAAAAGCTACTTTTGTTTATACTTATGTGTTTATACAGTATAATATGTAATGTATGTTTTCTCATGCATGCTTGACAAACAAAATAAATAAATCAAAATAAAGAGAACAATTAATCAGGGGAACAACTTGCCTCCAGAAGTCTCGAATGTTCCACAACTTTTTAAAAAGAGTTTGGACAGGCATTTGTCTGAAATAGCATAGTGTTTCCTGCCTGAGCGGGGGTTGGATTAGATGACCTCCAAAGTCCCTTCCAATCTATTCTATTCTATTCCATTCCATTCCATTCTATTCTATTATTTCTATTCTATTCTGTTCTGTTCTATTTCTGCTCTGCTCTGCTCTGTTGTTTATTCCATTCTATTTTCTGTTCTGTTGTTTTGTATTCTATTTTCTGTTCTATGTTCTGTTCTGTTCTTCTTCTCCTTACGACTTGGGATTTGAAGCTCCAAGAACCTCCCTCCCATGGTCAGGCGGCTGCTTCTTGGCCCACATTTACAACTATTTTTAGCGTAACGCAATTTAAGGCGTGTTTGCAGGAAACCGGCATTTAGTTTCAACTTCTGCCCAAAACTGGTCTCATGGAGAACAGGTTCGTTTTACGACCACAGAGTTAGCTCTAAGACCGCTGCAAAGAGATGGTTAAAATCAGGCCTGGCCACCCCGTTTTGCAACTATACGATTGAAATTATGGGCCGGATGATGGTTTTAAATTAAGGATTATCTCAGTTTTCCTTCCTTACAAGCACAGGTCTTTGGTCTAAGGTTAGTGGGAAGTTGATCCCAAAACCTTGAATTGTTTATGGAAATAATAAAAAGATGGAATACAGGCGGTCCTTGACTTACGACCGCAATTGAGCCCCAAAATTCTTGTCACTAAGTGAAACAGGTGGCTTTTGCCCCATTTTATGACTTTTCTTGCCAGTTGTTAAATGAATCATTGCAGCTGTCACAAGTCTGAGTCAAGTTTGCCAAGGGTCTGGATTTTGACCGTGGAGATGGCTGCAACGGTTGGGCGAAAAATATGGTCCGTAAGTCACTTTATTTCCCAGTGCCCTTGTCCCTTTAAACAGTCACTAAACGAACTGTTGTAATTCGAGGACCGCCTCCAGAAATAAATAATTGATAAAAATAAATATTCAGGAGCGCCAGACGTAAAGCTGGATAGGAGGAGATGGGCATTAATAGTA